TGTCAGGGACCAAGCAGTAAGGCAAAAGACACAGCTTCCAAAGTTCAAAATAAAGGGTTTTTATTAACCCAAAAGCAAGAAAAATACAAAATTAACATCAGATAAACTGGGCCCTAAAAGAGGTCAACAAAAGATAAGGAAACTCAAAATACAGCAAACTGAACTGTCTCAACAAAACCAACTGACCTAGCAAATGACACACACACACAGGGGAACATATATACTGGCTGGCTAAACCAATAACACACACCCGGGGAAACTAAAGACACTACCAAAGCAATCAACTAATAAACACTAAACATACAGCCTGCTCTCAACTAAATATTTCCTTTAAATATAAAGAAATTAACATAACTTGACAAATAAAGTTCTAACATAAACTACCAACAAATAAACAATAAATTTCTCCCAAACTCCCCCCTTTCTTGTATTGGGCACTTGGTGCAGTCCAGGCCTAGTGGGAGGTATTTAAACCTGCTGCTTCCTCAGTCCAATCTTTTAGCTGAACCACCCCCCCATCCATGGACCAGGAAACACGGCAACCCAAAAGAAAAGGTAAACATTAACAATACAAAATTAATCAAACGTGCATGCTCATTGATCAATTGTGTATGTCCAATATAAAATTACCCACCCAAGTCCATGGGTGGTGGTGGACCTAACACTACTGAAAAAGGCAAATTAGGTACCACCCCAACATTCAGAAGGTAGACTTGGCCCTGCACCTTAATGAACATATCTGCAGTGGGATAAGGTTTTTCATCCCCATGAACACAACAAATAGGGATCATATCATTAACACAAACATTAGATGGCACCAATTTACTATGCACCAAGGTCTGATCACTGCCAGTATCAATTAAAGCCTGAACAGCCTGGCCATTCACCTCAATAGGGAACATTCTTACTTTTTGACTACAATCAGCATTAGGTTCACCACCATGATGGGGCACAAAGCACATTTGAGTTAATCTTGCAGGGTTGTTTGGGCAAACTGGCTTAATGTGCCCTTCTTGCCCACAGAGATAACAGACTGGCAGTTTACCATGCTGTTTTAAAGGCAACTTTACTGGTCGGCTCCCCCTCACCGGAAACTTCTCCCTACTCGTGCTTATCCTCTGATGGGGTTGAAGAACAGTCGGCTTGCGAGTGTCTTTAGTGGAGTTCCAGGCAGTATAGCTCCATGGTTGATTCCTCTTCCGAGCAGCCACAAACACCTCAGCCAGTGCGGCTGCTTCTGCCGCAGATTCTGGGTCATGCTCCTTAATCCACACCTGTAACTCTGGAGACATCATTCTCAAGTATTGTTCTAAAATAACTGTTTCACCAATCTGTTGTATAGTTTTACCATTTGGCTGGATCCACTTCCCATATAATTCCTTAAGCCTTACATACAATTCTTTTGGGCTCTCATCAGGATTCACCTCCAGGGAGCGGAATTTCTGCCTATAAGTCTCAGGATTTATGTTGTATTTAGTTAGAATAGCAGTTTTTACTTTTTCATAATCCTGAGCATCATCCAAGTCCATATGTACATAGGCGCCTCTCGCCTTACCAGTCAGCAGGGCTATCAAATGGAAAAACCCAGTCACCTTCAGACCATCGACATGCTGCTGCAATTTGCTCAAATGTTCAATATCATTGTCTGAAAGCTTTTCCAATCTAGGCATATGATGAAACTGAGACTGACCTGCTGTGAGTTGAGATGATGCAACCTTCTCCAAAGGGGAAGCTACTCTAACCTGTAGTCCCCCACTTAAATCGGGTGGCTCTACCTCCACTGGCTCACCCTCCACAGGTGGAGAATCAGGAACAGGAGTTGTACGTGCCTGTACCTCCAGCTGTAATAGCTGAAACTGATGTTGTAATGCTTTAAACTGTTGTTCTTGCCGTGCACTCTCTTCCCTCCGTTGAGCTTCTCGGGCCTCCTGCTCACCCATAAGAGTCTGCAGAATTGAATACAGGTCTGACATTTTTGGTTCTCTACCTTCATCCACAGCGCCATCAACTCCTCCACAAGCTCCCTTATTCACTTCCTCCTCTGGAACCGTCTGCTGAGTGAGACCATCTCTTCTTCCATCTGCCCGGCCTCCCTTTGCTCCTCCACAAGACATCACTCCATCCACAGTTAGGAGAAACTAAAAAAAATTCTGTGTCACTCACTGGATGATCCCACCACTGCCACCATATGTCAGGGACCAAGCAGTAAGGCAAAAGACACAGCTTTCAAAGTTCAAAATAAAGGTTTTTTTTTTTATTTATTAACCCAAAAGCAAGAAATATACAAAATTAACATCAGATAAACTGGGCCCTAAAAGAGGTCAACAAAAGCTAAGGAAACTCAAAATACAGCAAACTACACTATCTCAATAAAACCAACTGACCTAGCAAATGACACACACACACAGGGGAACATATATACTGGCTGGCTAAACCAATAACACACACCCGGGGAAACTAAAGACACTACCAAAGCAATCAACTAATAAACACTAAACATACAGCCTGCTCTCAACTAAATATTTCCTTTAAATATAAAGAAATTAACATAACTTGACAAATAAAGTTCTAACATAAACTACCAACAAATAAACAATAAATTTCTCCCAAACTCCCCCCTTTCTTGTATTGGGCACTTGGTGCAGTCCAGGCCTAGTGGGAGGTATTTAAACCTGCTGCTTCCTCAGTCCAATCTTTTAGCTGAACCACCCCCCATCCATGGACCAGGAAACACGGCAACCCAAAAGAAAAGGTAAACATTAACAATACAAAATTAATCAAACGTGCATGCTCGTTGATCAATTGTGTATGTCCAATATAAATTACACACCCAAGTCCATGGGTGGTGGTGGTGGTTTAGGCTCTCACATGGTGAAGGCCAGGACTGAGGCCTTCACACTCACAATACAATATTAACTTTCTTGGGTTAAGCAGTATAACATTCATCATGTTAGGATTTCAAGTTAGGAAATTTAGAACAGACACAATCACACAGTTCCATCATTATATTCCTGCCAATCATTTCATTCTAATTAGTATGTTATCACTACCACAGAGAATCACAGCTTTAACTAAACTAAAATAAGATCAAAGCTTATACACTGCCTATATTAGTTACTAATCTGGTCCAAATAAAGAATCCATAAGGACTGCTGAGTTAATATGGCATCATACTTATACAGTGCAAAAGGTTTGTTTGGAAATGTGTTTAGGACTGTGTAATTATGGGAGTGGATTAAGGACTTGCAGTACTTACTTGATTTGTGGTCTTCATTGGGGTCACCTTCTGGCCATGCTATTTTCTGATTTTTGTATTTGCTGATGTCACTTGTAAGTCAGTGTCATTAGGCCTGTTTGTCTTTGATAACAACATTATTACCCTCAGTTACAGAGGTCATTATGAGCTTTTTTTTCAGACTTTCATTTAGCATGAGGTCTCACTGTTCACCCTGTAATGGAGTAGCCTGTTTGCCACTGTTCGAATTTACAGAACTGCTAATGACCAATCCCCAATAACGCCTTTGGGGTGTCTGATGGAGGATTAATTATGCAGTATAATTTGTGAATTATCAGCAAGCCTGCCTCAGCAAAACCACAACAGATTTAATTTACAGTGAGAAACATGTATATATCACAAGATGGAATTTCAAGTCCCAGTTTGCTTTTCAAAAAGACATACAGTACATGTAATAAATTTGGTATTTTTATTTATACAATATATCTAAAGATGATGTTTTCAGAAAGAACTGAAGGCAACTGAAAGGCAGTGCTTTCTAATAATTTATTTCAGTGTAAACATTTACAAGTGATGATGATTCCCTTAGATAAACTTTATTTGTGCTGAGCAGCAAGAAAAGATAACCGGGGGGCAGGCACAAAAAGGAACAGTACTCTGGTCTAAGAGCTGCACAGAAAAGCAATCCTCCCTCTTCCTGTTGTATTTTCAGCTCAACATAACAAGCTCTTCCTGTTGTATTTTCAGCTCAACATAACAAGTGACGGTGTAACCAGACAGTGCCTGAAGAACAAAAACAAAATATCTAATAGGTAAATAATGTGCATATGTAACAATCTTTAAATTGCTTCAGTGCTAATCTTGATGAAATAGTCCTGCAAAATACTGTAACACTGTATCTTTTCATGTGAGAACCAAAAACTATTATACAGTATGTTATAGATATTTTGAATTAGGATTGAGACAAACATTTTGCTGAAGAGATTTGGGAGAACAACATATAAAAAGTAGAAAGGGTCTTTCTGTTTTTTATTGAGTAATGGCTAGATGGCTTGTCTAAAGTAATCTATCATTGTGAGAAAGGCGGAGATTGGCTCTGGTGAGGGTCTCACTACTCAGCCAACTCCCTCAGTGGTCCACCAGTCATCTCAGAATAACCCTTCTAATAAGTCACTTGGAAGAAAATGTGGGGAGCCATCTGATTCCTAATGTGCTCTCTTTGTAACTCTGTGCTTGCACATCAGGAGTCAGATTGATATGTGCAATCACATGAAAGCCCTGCTGTGGTGGGGGTATCATGGTCTAATAGACCTGTATGTGTTTGTGTATATGTGTTTTGGCAAAATGCAAACAGGGTGATACATTTGCAATGGAAATCATAATATGCTGCAATGGTAAACAATGGAATAAGAAAACAGCAGCTGCCTGGGAATGCATGTATTCTTCTCAGCTTGATAGTTCACATATGATGACGTATTCATTAGCTTCAGAGACAATTAAGAGATGTAATGTTCTTCCAAAAAAGGTTCTCATTGCTCTGAATGTCTTATATGTGTAAATGCAATCTCTGATTTAAAAAAAAAAAGAATCCATAATACATCTATATGATCATAAATTCTGTGCACATATTTGGAAACTGAAATTCTGAAAGAATTTCATCACCCGTGCACATTCACCTTGAATAGATACTCAGCATCCAATATATTCTCTCAAGTCTACGTGCAGATACTACATGCATGCGCTTTTTCATTCTGTCCCCTAGCAGGGGTGAACTAAGAGTCAAGGGATTCAGATGATTGACAGGCCTATGAACTATTATAAACAGGTTCAGTTTCTCTATCTTAAAGTCCTAATCATACTTGCCAAGGGTTTTATTAGTATATGAAGGCTATTTCTTTCTTGCTAAGAACATTAAGTGAATTTTTGCTCTAAGATATTCACAAAGTTTATAGTTTATGATAATGTATGATGATGGCATCATGTAAATGGCACCACATATTTCATACAAATATTTTCAGTGGAGTAAAACACATCTCATCAATTGTTGGCATAGGCAATTATAAAAATGGCTATTTCCCCATTTCTTTTTTTGGCAGTATAATGAAATCTTTGATTGTTGTTTCATTTTATGCTTTTTACTATCCTGTTTCCTCTTCTTTGAAACTGGGGGATGCTTCTATTTCAAGCATTGTCCCCCATAGAGCTCATGCCCTATACCATAATAATGCAGGCCAGCATAACCATTCGTTCATATAAGCTGCATTACTGTAGGTGTCAACAATGAAACACCACCTTCTTTGTATGTATCTATTCCACATTA